GAGTGGTTTGAATCCAGTGCTTGCTAACTGTAACTTTGGATAAGTTACTTGCCCAACTGTGCTTAATTTTCTTATCCGTAAAATGCGAATAATGGTATCTACCTCTAATGACCGAAGACCAGATGTGTTGTGGAATGGCATCAAGGACATCATACATGAAGAAAGCAAGAGGTCATTGAAAAGACAAGAAAGAAAGAAAAGACCAAAATGGATGTCAGAAGAGACTCTGAAAATTGCTGCTGAACGTAGAATAGCTAAAGCAGAAAGAAGAAATGACGAACTAAGAGAGCTGAACAGAAGATTTCAAATGGCAACTTGAGAAGACAAAGTAGAATATTATAATGAAATGTGCAAAGACCTGGAGATAGAAAACCAAATGAGAAGAACACGCTCAACATCTCTCAAGCTGAAAGAACTGAAGAAAAAAATTCAAGCCTTGAGTTGCAATATTGAAGGATTCTACGGGGAAAATATTGAGTGATGCAGGAAGCATCAAAAGAAGATGGAAGCAATACGCAGAGTCACTGTACCAAAAAGAATTGGTCGATGTTCAGCCATTTCAGGAAGTAGCATGATTAAGAACCAGTGGTACTGAAGGAAGAGGTCCAAGCTTCACTGAAGGCATTGGTGAAAAACAAGGCTCCAGGAATTGACAGAATACCAATTGAAATGTTTCAACAAACAGATGCAGCACTGGAAGCACTCACTTGCCTATGCCAAGAAATTTGGAGGACAGCTACCCGGCCAACCAGCTGGAAGAGATCCATATATGTGCCCATTCCACAGAAAGGTGATCCAACAGATTTCAGAAATTATGGAACAGTATCATTAATATCACACACAAGTAAAATTTTGCCGAAGGTCATTCAAAAGCGGTTGCAGAAGTACATCGACAGGGAATGCCAGATTCAGAAGAGGATGTGGGACCAGGGATATCATGACTGATGTCAGATGGATCTTCGCTGAAAGAAGAGAATACCAGAAAGATGTTTACCTGTGTTTTATTGACTATGCAAAAGCATTCAACCGTGTGGATCATAATAAATTATGGGTTATATTGCAAAGAATGGAAATTCCAGAACACTTAATTGTGCTCATGTGGAACCTGTACATAGACCAAGAGGCAGTAGTTTGAACAGAACAAGGGAATATTGTATGGTTTAAAATCAGGAAAGGTGTGTGTTGTGGTTGTATCCTTTAACCATTCAGTCTGTATGCTTAGCAAATGTCCAAGAAGCTGGACTATTTGAAGAAAAGTGCAGCATCAGTATTGGAGGAAGACTCATTAACAATCAGTGATATGCAGATGGCACAGACTTGCTTGCTGAAAGTGAACAGGACTTGAAGATCAAAGACTACAGCCTTCAGAATAGATTACACCTCAACATAAAGAAAACAAAAATCCTCACAACTGAACCAGTAAGCAACATCATGATAAACAGAGAAAAGATTGAAGTTGTCAAGGATTTCATTTTACTTGGATCCAGAATCAATGCCCATGGAAGGAGTAGTCAAGAAATCAAATGACTGTGCTGCAGAAGACCTCTTTAAGGTGTTAAAAAGCAAAGATACCACCTTAAGGACTGAGGTGTGCCTGACCCAAGCCATGGTGTTCTCAATTGCCTCATATGCATGTGAAAACTGGACAATGTATAAGGAAGACTGAAGAAGAATTGATGACTTTGAATTATGGTGTTGGTGAAGAATATTGAATATACTGTCCACTGCTAGAATAACAGACAAATCTGACTTGGAAGTACAGCCAGAATGCTCCTTAGAAGCAAGGATGGCGAGACTTCATCTCATATACTTTGGACATGTTATCAGGAGGAACCAGTTCCTGCAGAAGGACATCATGCTTCATAAAGTAGAGGGTCAGTGAAAAAGAGGAAGACCCTCAGTGAGATGGATTGACACACAATGGCTGCAACAACGGACTCAAGCATAACGACTGTTGTGCGGATGGCGCAGGACCAGACAGTGTTTTTTTCTGTTGTCCATAGGGTCGCAGTGAATCGGAACCGACTCTACGGCACCTAACAAGAATAACCACCTCATAGGTCTGTCATATAGATTATAAATAAAAGCCTAGAATGGTACCTAACACATTGTAAACAGTATTGAAGCATTTGCTATTATGATGATGATGTTGTTTTGCATAATTCATGCAGTAACTCTGAGGCCTTCTTCTAATAAATTTTCTAAGATTCTTATTATGAGGAATGATTATTGGGACCTTTGATGAGTATGTTATTAAAAAGGTATCGTTTTTAGAAACTTGTGTTCACAATTCTACTTCACCCTCTTCAAGCTCTCTGCCCACCTCTTGCTGACACATACCTTATCAATCCCTTCTCCGTTCTCATCTGTGATTCCAGTGGAGAATTAAGCTCTAATTTCCTAAGGTTTCCTCTATTTGTAATGATTTAACCTCTCTCCTGTTCATGTAGAATGATACTAGTAAGGTATTCTTGGGAGATTTGAGAAAATACTAATTCAAATGATTTTCTTTAGTTAGATGAGGAACCTTAATTGTCAGAGATTATGTAAATCAAGCCATCTTGCTATTATGTTTCACAGAGTAATGATGATGGTAACAGCTGCTTTTCTCTGTCTACCAAGGTTTACCTTGTTTTGTTTGTTTGTTTTATCTCTTTAGCCCTTACCATTAAACATAAGATCTGGCATATAGATGAATAAATAAATATAACATTTTTAAGACGGCTTTTTTGTTTTTTGTTTTGTTTCAAGAAATTATTCCATACCCTGAGATGTGCATTTTATTCTACACATTTCAAAGTTTTGTCTTTTACATTTAGGTCTGTGATATAACAGGAGTTTACTTTTCTGTTTGGTATGATTTGGAGACTTTAAAAAGTTTTCTTTTTTTTTCCACATGGATATGCCCGGCACCGTTTACTGAATCATTTCTTTTTCCCCCGTCAGTTGTAATACTGTGTCTTTGCATCAGTTTTCTTGTATAACCAATTCTTCGGTATATGCCTAGGTCTAAAGTTTCTTTTTCTGCTCCTTTGATCTATTTATCTATCCTTGCATCAATACCAAACTGTCTTATTTTAACTTTCTAATAATTCATGATATCTAGTAGGATAGGAGCCCTGGTGGCATAATGGTTAAGAGCTTGGCTGCTAACCAGAAGGTCAGCAGTTCAAATCCACCAGCTGCTCCTTGGCATCCTTTTGGGTAGTTCTACTCTGACCTATAGGGTTGCTATGAGTCAGAATTGACTGGATGGCAACGGGTTTAGGGTTTTTTGGGTAGTAGATAAGTCTTTCTACAGTTTATAATGCTATTCTTATTTCTTTTGCTCTTTCAAACATCTTTTAGAGTCAGTTTATCAGGTTCTTTCAGAAACCCATTAGGGTTTTCATTGGAATTATAGATTAGTTAGGAGAGAGTTGACACCTTTGTGATTCATTTATTCATTCATCATTCACTGAATATTTGTGGAGCACCTCCTGTGTACTGGGAAGTGGTGATACAGTAATGAACAAAACTTATATAAATATCCCTGCATTTGTGGAACTTACATTCTAGTAAAAGGAGATAGACAATACAGAAGGTAAATAAATTATACACTTTATTATTTGGAGTAGCCAAAAATTGGAATAATCAACTTGTGTATCCAAACAATGGAGTACTGTCAGCAGTAAAAAGAAACGAGCTACTTATACATGCACCAACACAGATGAATCCCAAAAATATCATACTAGGTGAAAGAAGCCAGATACATTACACTACATATTGTATGACTCCATTTATGTGAAATTTCTACAAAAGACAAAACTGTAGCTACAGAAAATAGGTCACTGGTTGCCTGGAGCTTGAGGTGGGTACGGGGATTGACCTCAGACGAGTATGAGGGAACTTTTTAGGGGTGATGGAATTGCTCTTAAATTGGATTGTGGTAATGGTTACACAACTCTGTGAGTATACTAAAAACCATTGAATTGTACAGTTTAAGTGGGTAGATTTTATGGTATGTGAATTATTTCTATAAAGGTATTACAAAAATCAAATAAAATTGTATGCTGTATTTGAAGGGGAATAGGAGTGGGATAGGCAGGTGCTGGTGGTGAATCTGGAAGGCCTCACTGAGAAGGTAACAGTTGAGCAGAGAGTTGAAGGAAGTAAGGGATTGAGCCACGTGATATCTGGGGGAAGAACTTTCTAGGAAGAGGAACTAATCAGTGAAAGATCCTGAGATGGGAGCATATCTGGCATGTTTGAGGAGCAGCAGTGTTGCTGAAATCGAGCTAGCAAGAGAGAGAGCAGTAAGAAATGAAGTTGGGACATAGGATCATGTAGGGCCATAGAGGCCATTGTAAAGACTTTGGCTTTTACAGTGAGTGAGATGGGGAGTTAATGCAGTGTTTTGAGTATAGGAGTGACATGGTCTGATGTAGCTTTTTAACAGTGGTTGCAGTACTGAAAGTAGCTTGAAATGTAGCGTGGGTGGAAGCAGGGAAACCATTTAGAAGACAGCAGTCCAGGAGAGAGATGAGTGACTTAGGCCAGAGTTGAAGCAATGGTGGTGGTAAGTAGTGGTCCCTTTCTGAATATATTTTGAAAGAAGAGGTAACTGGGTTTACCAACAGATTTAAGACAAGACGTGAGAGAGGGGGGCAGAGAAGATGCTGTTTTTTTTTTGGCCAGAGAGACTGAGAGGAGGAAGATTGAGGGTGAAGCAGAATTGGGAAAATACCAGAAGTTCTGTTTTGGACATGTTATAGGAGTCCATCAGACATCCAAGGACATATTTGAGTAAGTGAATTGGATGTTAAAATCTGGTGTATAGTGAAGAAGTCCTCAAGTAAAGATTGTGTTTAAAGCTATGATTAGTTCTCCAATCCATCAACACAGTGTACGTAATATATTAGGCAAGACTTTATTTCCCCTTGGGATAGACTCTTTTATTTGCTAACTTAACCTCCCTTCCAAAGAGAAGAAATATGTTAATTAATTTTCTTGCATTTTAGGATCTTCAAGATGAAGTTCAAAGGGAAAATACTAATCTGCAAAAGCTACAGGCCCAGAAACAGCAAGTACAGGAACTCCTTGATGAGCTGGATGAGCAGAAAGCCCAGCTGGAGGAGCAGCTCAAGGAAGTCAGAAAGAAATGTGCTGAGGAAGCCCAGCGGGTAAAGTCTGGTTGTTCACTGATGCCTGCATCTGTACCTTAGTTGCTTTTCCTACCTTAAGAGAAAAGCCTTCTCTGCTTTTTGTTGTTGTTCTTAGATGGCAATCTAGTCAGCAGTTGGGCACATGAGGGAGGTAGAGCAAGGTTCATCCAGAAATTATAGGCTCTCTTTAGGAGAAATAGCAGAGCACTTAAATCTACTATTTTTCCAAATTTTTGAAAATATGGTACCTATCCACCACTCGTCTGTCAGTTTGTCATACTGTGCTGGCTTGCATGTTGCTGTGATGCTGAAAGCTATGACACCGGTATTTCAAGTACCAGCAAGATCACCTATGGTAGACAGGTTTCAGTGGAGCTTCCAGACTAAGACAGAGTAGGTAGAAGGACCTGGTGATCTACTTCAAAAAAAAAATTGGCAATTGAAAATCTTACAAATAGCAGCGGAACATTGTCTGATATAGTGCCGGAATAGGAGCCCCTCAGGTTGGAAGGCACTCAAAATACAACTGGGGAAGAGCTGCCTTAAAGTGCAGTCGACCTTTATGACGTGGATGGAGTAAAGCTTTTGCTGATATGGCACGACTCAAAATGAGAAGAAGCAGCTGCAAGCATTCTTTAATAATCAGAACATGGAATGTATGAAATACGAATCTAGGAAAATTGGAAGTCATCAAAAATGAAATGGAATGCATAAAGATTGATATCCTAGACGTTAGTGAGCTGAAATAGACTGGTAT